AGATGCTGCGGGGGTGGGTTTTTTTTTTTTTTGGCAGACCGAGACCAGAAGGCCCGAGGCAGACAAGGAGGGGGACCCCTGAGGACGTCAATCTGCTTGTGCTGGGTTTCGCTCAGCGGCGCTCCTGCCTTGCTCCCCTGCCCCTGCTCCCCTGAGGTGGCCCGCACCCGGCCTCCAAGCGGGAGAGGTCCCCTCGAGTTTGAACCAACTACTGGCAGCTCTTGCCGCCGCTCCGGCGCCGGCCCCGTGACGCGCTATCGGCTCGATGTCAAAATCGGGCCGATTCTTAGCGGGCACACCAGCAAGTCAAAATTGAAACCCAAAGGGATCCTCGAGTTTTTGTGATGCTTTGTATTCAGCTCTCTGCAAAATATCTAGTTAGCACTAGATGGAAAGGAAAAAAAAAAATCTTTTTTTTTCCCCTTTGCGTTAAAAAAAAATATGGTGAGGAACAGCTCCAGGAGAAGGGTCTCACTGGATAAACCCCCCTTTTCCTACACTGATTTAATGCTTTAGATTAAGAGGCGGCTCTAGGTTCTTCAAGGAAGGGACGTGCAACTCCAGTTCTCCAAAGGATAAAGGTGATGAGTTTTCTGAAGCCTCAGGGGATTTAAGAGCTATGGAAACATTTTGGGACGAGGCAAGGCTTCAAAGCCACCAAATGCCTGCGGCCGGCAGCGACTCCCGACAGTATCGGGCGATTGCCCCAGGACGCCCCCAGAACAGCCCTTCCCCAGGCTCCCCGAAATCTCTCCCCGGCCGAACCCCTGCTACCGGGACCCAGGCAGGACCAGCCAGCGGACGCCCTGGATGTAACCACCTCCAAGACGAGAAGGTGCTTCCAAGACTAATACTCTTCACGCAAACAAGCAGATGGCCCGCAAAGAAGCGACCACACGGATAAATCAAATGCAGTAAGGCGGGAAACAGAATAAATGGCCGCAATGCCCCGTGGGCGCGTTCATCAGAGGCTGCAAAGAGGAGCAAGTTGCCTAAACGCTTTCGACATAACGGTTTCCAGACTACAACCTTCCCGCGAGCAGCCTGGGAACGAGCTATTTTCCTTTTTAAGGGTTTTCTCCCCTCGTAAGCGAGCGACGCTCTGCAGCCAGCTCTTGCAGCAGTAGGAGCTCGCTCGGGTCTAGTGATGACTCTCAGTTTGGACCCGTCGCTTTCAAAGCTCTCAGTCCGTTCGGCGAGAGCGAACGGGGCGCGCTGCCTCCTGCCTGCCGGCCTCGGCAGGGAACCGCGGCCAAAGAACCGGGAAAAGCCCCATTTTTTAACCTTTACCTGAGACCTCAGGGTGCGGCTACACCTTGGGTCTGCTGACTGAGATTGCAGCTATTTTTGGACAGTTGACATCCTCACCGTCGCGGCTTTTTAAGGACTCGGCAGCCAGCTGCAAAGTCGCTTCAAGCCCGGGCAGCTCAAAAAGGCTTTTTCGGCATAGAAAAGGAGGCTGAGCTGATGCTGCCAGGACGGGCACCCCCGGGGCCAGGGGGTGTCACGGTCCTCGCTGAGCGCGGAGCTGCCTCA